GTTAAGACAGTGAAGCTTTAGCTTTCTTTGAAAAAATTTCCAGTATAAATCTTTGTACACATGCACATGGATATTTTATTTAAAAATTTAAGTGAATTTTAGGATTAAGCCTTCGTTTCAAAAGCTCAACTTTTCTTCTGAGGATGAAGGAATGTGAGGAAGACAGTGACATCAGTATTTTGGTAGTTAATATATGTGGCTATAAAACTGTGGAATCTCTGCCTCCAGCTGTTGTTACAGTCAGGATTTCTGAACATAATACAAACAGTAGATGGTATATAAGAGAAGTACAAGTTCCAGCAAGACTGCAGTGCTTGCATAAATACAGAATGTTCTTTAAATCTTTGCTACTTATAAAGGCTTTTGAGTAAACAGAAATAAATTGCTGTCTGGAGAGACTCAGAAGCAGGGACAACTTCTGTCCTGTTTAGTCATGGTGGACAATACACTGTAACTCAGTGAGCATCATAGGCAGACAATCACAGGCAGACCTGGGTAAAGCTTTCAGTATGTGTAATCTATTTCAATGAATACATCCTGGAAGTTAGATCCTAGTACTTTACATTGTCTTCCTATTAATTGTTATTATCATAATGTAAACAACTAATTGAATAATGCTTTACATTTTACAAGCAGGAGGAGGAAGACTCAGATGAAGACCATTCTCAAAGCAGCCATGAGTTATCATCTGGTCCAATATCTTGCCTCCCTGTCGATGAGCACCTGTGTTACTCTCAGGAGGAGAGTGAGCCTGCATATGTTTCACCTCTGGATGAAAAGAAAGTTTTCAGGCAAACAGCCTTGTCTATGTCCAATTTACATGAGGCAACAATGTAAGTTCTGTGGGTTTTTTTTCCTGAATGTTTTAAAATATTTTATGTAGACTTTGAAAATGAACCATGATCCATACTTACTGCATGGGAATAGTCTATAAAAAAGAAATGATTCAATGTTATCTTACAAGAGAAAAGGCACAGAGGCTATCTGTTGTTTGGGCAGCACACCTGTGCTTTAAGCTATTTACTCAAACAGCTTTGTGCCAAGTCCATGAAGACAAAGGTGAAGGAATATAATAAGATACAAGAAATAACTACAGTGGTAGTTACTACATAATGACCTAGTAAAAATATGCTGACCTACCTATCATTGCTGCAAAATTTTTAGATAGCTAACTACTTAAGTTCTTACAAAGCAGTCATAAGCAAAGTACAGTTTAGCCAAGGACAGACTACTCCTGTGTGCGTGTACTGGGACTGACTGTGTGAGTGACACAGTCTCAGGTAAAAATGCCAGATATGTGAGGCACAAACAGCAACAGGGGAGCTGAGTGAAGGATCACGAAACCCATGGTCATATGGGAGGACAGTGAATGTGTGTAAGATCAGTTTCTTCCTTGCAGAAGGAAGTGTCTGGATGCCCAGAAAACTTAACAGCACCCTCCTACCCTCAGTTATAAAACCAAAATAAAGCCCTCCTCCTGTTTTGTAGACAAAAAATCTCAAGAGGCACATGAGCTGCTATCACTCAGTCCTGAAACTTGTTGAAGAACATGGCTTCCAGGAACTGATGTGTCCTCATAGCTTATGGGATGGTATCTTTTTTCTTACTTTTGATTGGGAGCTCTTAGATGCATAAATGAAATTGACTAGGCTCTACCAAAATTGAGAGTAAATAGAAATGTCCTGGTTTTCTACATAAGTCAACTATGTATGCAATAGTTTGCTCACAAATGCTGTGAAGGTATTTCTGTGCATTTTGTTATTATGGGGAAAAAAACCCCACAAACAGCTGCATATGTCACAGTGGAACTCCTTCTCTGCCTAAAAACCTAATTCTCCAAATACCATCTGAAACATGGCCTGTAAAAAAAAAAAAAAAAGTAGATTCTGGATACCACTAGCACTTTCGCTGAATCACAGTAGTAACAGCTAACAGCTGCTTCTAGGAGTAGGGCTTGGATGGTGCCTTTCTTAATTCAGTTACAGAGATGCAAAGCATTTCCAGTGAAATGCTGAGCCCTGTCAACTCCTTTAAGGCTACACAGAATTAAGACTACTAACAAGATGTAATCCTGAACACTTTTCCTCCCACATTTCCATAGAGTTTCTGCCTTCTCTATTAGAAGGGTGAGAATAGTATTAAAAGGGAAGGAGCACAACTGTTTATGGTGTGCAGTGGTACAGCCAGTTATATCCATAGTTGGCAGGATGTGATAGAATGTCTCAGGGCACTGAGCTCAGTGCCTGCTGTGGCCCATAGCAGCTTATTAGCCAAAGCAACAGCTTTTACAATACTTCCGAGCACACGGGGGTTTCATGTTCTTGTCTCTGTTTTACAGGCCTGTTCTGCTTGAACATCTCAGAGAAACAAGGGCAGATAAGAAAAGGCTTCGCAAAGCTCTGAGAGAGTTTGAGGAACAATTCTATAAACAGACAGGAAGGTAAATAACCAGCTCAACAAAAGCAGTGTGGGTATTTTTAGGTGAGCAGGCCAAAGAAACTGCAGTTAGGGACTGGAAGATACCCTGGAGATGCCTGGTCTCTGTGAAGATGGCCATTTCTCTGCTTAGCTCCTCCAGGATGTGGGCATCCCTGAGGACAGTCTGGATCTGGGGATCTTCCAGAACATGCCTCCAATGGGTGCAAACCCTGTCTCAACACAGGATCTTTCCTGAGCTGAAGGGAGGCTGCTAAAGAGTCTTTCTGAGGATGTAACTCTGCAGAGATTACACTCGGCAGTTGGGCCATTTCTAAAAGGCCAGCTTCACAAACAGAAGCCGCTCTTTCTTTCACCCATAGATAAATGCTGGTACTTTTCACTCTTTGTTTATCCTCCTCCCTTCATTTAGCAAATTTGTTTGGCAAAAACCATGGAGGATACGGGCATGTAGTATACAGTAACAGTTTTCAAAGCACTGTGTAATAACTTATTTACATATGTTAGAATGAAAAAAAAAAATCTGACAAGAAAGAAAATCACCTTGTATATGAAAATTCAATATTTTAAATACTATTATTTCATTTCTGTCTGTTTGTTCAAGTTTTTTTGTCCTGTCAAATTATCTTTAGTCACCCCAAACCATTCTATGATTCTATGATTCGAAAGTTAGGAACGCAAAAAAAATCCAGTCCAATCCTTACTAGTTACTGCAGAATTAATTTTAAAGACTGTTTTTCCTCTTACTTACAAAAGTGATGGAACTTTTCTTTTCATAGGAGTCCTCAAAAAGAAGATCGTGTGCCAATGGCTGAGGAATACTCTGAATACAAGCACACAAAAGCCAAAATCAGGCTCTTAGAGGTTCTCATCAGCAAGCATGATATTTCCAAAACAATTTGAAGCAAATGCAAGGCCGTGGTATTCTCTAGCAAAAACCAAGCAAACAATTAATGAAAAAGAGGAAGTAATTTTACAGGTTTTGGTCTGCTGCACAATTATTTGACACACTGAGATTTTTGATGCACTTTACCAATTATACTAGCTGGGATGAGAGGACAGCAATATGCAAGAATATTAAGCACGGGTGAGTGGACTATAGTATATATTTTTTCTTTAAAAAAAACCTTGAAGTGCACTGTGAGAATGTTAGAAATTAAAAGGACACTGAAGTATTGTAGATTCTCAGTTTGACCTGCTCTTAGTTTTAAAAAGTGTGAGAAGATGCTCTCCAGGTTTTCAGTACATCTTAGTACACGATAATGTAACACACATTTCTTTCCACAATTAACATGCACTAAACTAACTATTAATATCGGTTCTCAATGTGCTGATTCACTAAAGGAAACATGAGCTTAAAACAAATGAAGGAAAAAACTCATGAACATACTCTAACTTTCAAGACAAAGTTGCCATTCAATTCCAGCAGCTTCAAAGAAAGGTGCACGTAAAGAACCAGTGCCAGGATTTGGTATAAAATTCTGGGAGTAGAGCAAAGTGATTCTGCCTACACAACAAAAGGAGAACAGAATATGACTGCAAAATTGAGAGGGTTTTGTTTGTTTGTTTGTTTGTTAATTAGAAATAAGAGCAAGCGTTTGGCAAAAGGAAATAGATACAGTTTACTGGGAAGAGATAAAACAAATGTACTGGCTGCTGTCCTTTTCACTTTGATTCACAGGACCTGGGTCACAGTACTTAAAATTCAGAAAATAGATCAACTACACGCTAATTTTTATTTCTGTATTAAACTTTGCACTTTACTTTGTCTGATGCTCTAACATTTACTTTTCTAACTACCAAAGCTTGTTTAGACGCATGCACTTTGTAAAATGTTGAAGTATTTCTTGTGTTATAAATTGCCACATATATAGATTAAAACAAGACTAGATTATTGCATTATGCTAAAATATTTTGGATAGATTAAGTATATGGTATATAATTGAGTGTCACAGTTATCTGCTGAGGAACGTTAGACTTGTTTACTAAAATAAGATTATGAGAAGATATTTTTCCATTGGAATTATGCATCTTTCTTAACTTCCAGAGCACCACATTTTTTGTAATATTAAGGAAGTTTATTTCACTGTTTGTGATAGACCATTTGTGTGAAGAGTAGACTATTAACAGAAGGATTATCAGTGGTTTTTGCATTAGAAATGAAAAGCAGAGCTTCTGGGAAATACCTAGCCCAGACATAAAGGAAGGAAGAATTAAAAAAAAAAAAAAGTGTGGGGGAGTAGGGGGGTGGGATTTGATTTGAATAAGTTGAATCATGTTTAGTGTTTTGCTTTAACTGTCATTTTGTATTGATAATGCAGTATAAACAACCTGTTTTCTATCTTGCTAAGAAGGTTTTCATTTTATAAAGCCTATTATGTACCAACCATGTTTGTATTTATATTGTATGTAGTAGCTTGGCATGATTTTGAAGACGTACACATTTTCAAGTAGTTTGGAGGAAAAAGTATGAACACTAAAAAAGGGATTTTTTATTCCTCAGAGGTTTGTTGTTTCAGTGTACTGACTTTATAATTTATAACTTAACTTTTATGAATCAGAAATGGTCTCCTTCGTATATCTGTTTTAATTAAAGTCATCTAGAGCAACAGGAACAGATACAGAGCTATTTGAAGTTTACAAACTACATCTTTGATAAGGGAAAATGATTTCATGACATATGTATACAATTGATATTAAAATGTAATCTATATATTCTATATGATTGTATAATATTTTATACAACAGTACAAATAAAATATTTTTCTATTATATTTATTATGTCGAGACACAGTTTCTGTTTTCAGTTAGCTACTATAAATAACATAAATAACACTGTCAAACAACACGTTGGAAGTGCTGACATTCTAGGCTTTGAAATTTAAATCATGCTGCAATTACAACCTTTCATGCTGTTTGGAGTTATCCCAGTATTTGTTCAGTAGTTAAAATGAACGCATATTTAAACACCATTTATAAGCCGTTATTTTTGTTTTGCTAAAGCAGTTTATATAGGATTTTGTTATGTTTGGCAAGAAACAGAAAACAATTCTTGCAGCATCTAGGTATAAATGGTTGCCAGAAAGAAATCCAGGACTTCTAATCATTTAAAGCATTGGGGGAACAGAAGGGAAAGGGAGAGAAGAAATACTAAAAATGCTATTGGAGATTTTGAAGACTCGTGTTTGCTTTTGGTGACAGCGGCATGTGCATGCTTCTGACAAAATGTCTGAAGATGGAAATGGGCAGCAGAGGTCTGAAGGCTGCTAAATAACAAGGGAAGTTTTAACGTCCAACACTAATGTTGCAGGTCTTGCAGCTGGGATCTTTCTTTGCATTTGCAGTAGACAAGCTCATTAGTTGGTGACCAGTAATTTCCGCAACTGTGCCGAGGGAGAGATCCACAGGATCAGTGTAAATTACTTCCAAAATAACATCCTGGGCATGATGGTAAACCATGACACCGTCTTCTTCATTGCAGGTCAGAAATTTATTATCTTTTATATTTAGTTGAGGAAGGCGCAGCTTACAGAATTCATCTCCTGGTGATCCAACAGGGGCGATAACAAGAATGACGTAGTGGTAGGCTGTGTACATGCAGTAGAAGTCTCCAAAGTACAAGTTAGTATTTGGGTTGAAGAGTTTTTCAGCTGCAATCTCAAACCTGTATCTTCCATATGGTGAATCTTGTGGTGGCTTCCCAGTGTTAAACTCAGTGTTGCAGCTGAAGAAGATGCCTTCCAGCTTCCCACTGATCGGAGAGCCATGGCTGCCACTGTTATCCTTAACAGAGGGCTGCATAGCATTCCCATGATGCTCTCTACAAACGAATGACTGGTATTGTTTATTTTGTAACACACGTTAAAGAAAAAACAGAAGATTAGGAGATGTCGTGCTGTTTGGTATCTGTACTGAGAGGACACAAAGAAAAACTGTTAAACTGAAAACTCTGGTTACTGTTATGATCTTAGGACCAAGAAACTCAAGTGATGCCACACTCAGAAAGAGCTAGAATAACTCCTGCTCAAGGGGAAAGTCTGTTTTTCCAGTCTGGCTTTTCTGTCAGCTGTGAGCTGTGTGGGTATTATATGCAGGGAAAGAATAGCACAAAGAAAAGAGCCCCCAAACCATCAATATCTTTAACTGGCTGATTTGTTCAGCCTTCCACTACAATTCTAACAATAAGCACACTTTAGTTTAATCACATGTTGAAAACTGCAAGTCAGTCTCAATATGCTGAATATACTGTTTGCTAACACATATTTTTAGCATAGACAGTATATAGTTCCTGTAGGAAACTGCCAGTGAAAGTTATTTCTGAAAAATATTTTTCAGAGAGCATATAGGGTAGAATGTACTGTCTGCCATAGTTTTTTTTTTCCCCCTCAACTTATAATTTCAGGTCTATTTTGTCTACTGCTGACTTCAATCAAAGCAGAGCTGGGCACAGAGTACTGGGTAATTTGGTTAGTTTCCACTTCAGTTGGTATCCAGCTTCTACAGTCACTGGTCCTAATTTTTAAAACCCTAAATCCCAAATTACACTCAACAGCATTTGCTAAATTTAGGAGAACGGTCCAAAACACTCCACCTAACCCTCCTTAGAACCTGAGATTTTATGTATAGCAGGATGTTTCCCAGAACCTGTGCCCCATGCCTCTCTGGAAGTGCTGTACTGACAGCTTTGGATCTCTCTGCACCTGCAACCATGTGATACCAGAAAGAGAAACATTCCCTTTTGTAAGGGCTGCAAAACACCAGATTTACTAGGTACCCTTAGAAAATGCTTTTATACACATTGACAGATAAAAAACACATGAGGCAGTGGGGCTGGAGAGTTGAGGAGTTTTACATCCCCCTCTTGCTTTATTTTTACTCTTTTTTTCTTCTTTTTTTTTCCCCCCCTTTTTTCTTTTTTTTTTTTTTTAAATTTTGTTTCTTTTGAGGAGAGGGAAGCTAGCCAAGAAAGACTGTTCTCTCTGCTTTTAACTTGCAACAGCTCCTGGTAAAATGGTGCTGTGTGGGAGAAGTTTTCTGGGCCATTCAAATACTACACAGTTATTGTCTCAAGCCCTGTTTCACAAGACATTGATTGGGCTGGGAGGGGGACTGAAGTGATTACTAAGGAAAAAAAAAAAAATCATCTTGAATAACCACCATCTCTGTAACCTGAAAAGCCAGGCTTCTTGCATTTCTATTTCTGAGGCAAGACACTGACATCCAGTGGCCAATTAGGCTAATTATAGGTCACGGTTCCTGGGGATGTGAGCTGCTTTGAGGCACTCCCAGACGAGGTAAGCAGCAGAGTGACATTAACGCTACTTACAGCCTCTCACTTCAAACACTACACTTTAGCACCGTGACAGCTGCTTGTTTACCACTGCTACTAGAGCTACACTATAAGATTTTCCAAGCTTGTTTACTAGTCATGACACTACAGAGGCCATTGGCAGGCATGGTACGACAAGGAATTTTTCCTAAAGGAAAGCATGTGGTTCATGTTTTAATATAACATTCAGAAGAGTGCACTGTGGAAGGACTAGCCCTTGTGACCATATTAGTATATTTCTGATCAGAAAAGGTGATTATCAGGCTGTTACAGGTATTCTAGCTTTATACTGACCTGGTACAACACAGCTCTTTCTCTCTTAAACTCAATAATAGAGGGGAAAACAAAGTAGTCTCTATTTGTATTGAAGCAAGAAAGAACATAACAGGAGGGAGGGGAGAAGATACTCTGCAATCAATTAGAATCACATTTGGCAGAATAAGGCCAGAACTACAGCTAGAAATGCATGGCAGTTTTCAAAGCTCTATGAAGGCAGGTGCACTAGGACTACAACGCTGAAAACAAAGCTATAATGAGAATCTGAACCACCAAATGCATATCCCTTGAGATAATAACTATAGTATTCAAACAGCCCAGAAAACTTTGGAAATTTATCTTACAGTCAAATTAAGATATATTGCTGAGGAGACCAGAAATAATGACAAAATCACAGTTGAAGACATTACTGAGGTGATTAGAGCTGGTTTGTATGTATACTCTGAATTTGCTTGCTTTGACTGCTACCTCTTGCTTTAACCAAGTAAAACCTTCTCCTACTTAGCACCGTTTTACCCGGGGCTGTTGCAAGTTAAAGCAGAGAGAGAGAACAGTCTTTCTTGGCTAGCTTCCCCCCCCTCAACCCAAACAAACCACCCAACCAAAAAAAAAAAAAAAAAAAAAAAGAAAGAAGGAAAACAAAGAAAAAAGAGTAAAAATAAAGCAAGAGGGGGATGTAAGACTTTTCAACTCTCCAGCCCCACAGCCTCATGAGTTTTTTTATCTGTCAATGTGGTGTCTAGGATGGCAGCAAATATTTACAAGGTCCTCAAAGAGCCTCAACAACTGCAATTCATTCTCTACCTCCATTTGTAGTTCTGCAGCTTTGTCACTATGTGTAATAAAATA